TCAAAAGTGCCATATTTTCTACCAAGAAAGCAAAAGACAAGCGCCCCTCTTCTTCTTTTCCCACACCCAGAAAGCCAGTGTACTAACATGTGATGAAGATTCTGAAAATTAGATATTCCCAACAAGGATTTTGAATCTTGAACAAGTGATCCAAAGCAAAGGGAGGCTACAAAGTTGTTCTTAAGAGTTAGACACTTTCTGCTACTGCTTATGCCTCCATGTTTTCTGGCCTTGGTAAGTCTTGGTTTCCCAGCTTCCTGCTGATTCTATGAGCTCCCAATTTTTTTCCAATAATTTACCCACCCCCCCTTTTTTTTTGAGACAGAGTCTCACTTTATCACCCAGGCTTGAGTACAGTGGCACAATTTCAGCTCACCGTAGCCTCCACCTCCAGGGTTTAAGCAATTCTCATGCCTCAGTCTCCCGCATAGCTGGGACCACAGGCACGTGCCACCATGCCAGGCTAATTTTTATATTGTTAATAGAGACAGGGTTTCACCATGTTGACCAGGCTGGTCTTGATCTCCTGACTTTAGGTGATATGCCTTCCTCAGCCTCCCAAAGTGCTGGGATTACAATTGTGAGCCACTGCACCAAGCCAATAATTTCCCTTTTTACTTCCAACATCCACAATCTGACTCCTTACTTGTAACTAAAAGTCATCACAATATGAGATGATTGAGAAAACTCGGAGCTCTGATTCCTGCCTGCTCATGAGTTCCCTTGAAAATGCGAGGCTGGTTTCTTTGCCAATCTTTGTCTCAGTTTCCACACTTGTAAAATGGGGCTAGCTGTCTAGCATACTTTGAAGAAAATTAATCTGTGAGATGTTTGTTGAATAAGGGGTTCTTCCTTTGGAGAATCTAATCACATGCTGGTCTATTGGGTTTCTGGAAATTCCTCTAGTAAAGGATTTAATTTGACTTTAATTCAGCATTTTAAGCTTAATCATGGAAGTCTTGTTTCAGAAAACATTAATATCTCATAGATAGAGTCATCCACAAACTATCTTGACAAGAGACATTGGCTCCAGCAGTTCATTTCTCTTGGAATTTACACCTGACACTGGACTTTGTCATTAAAGACTCATGAAGCTTATGAGGAGTCTCTGTATTAACCCATTAAAGTAGGAGGCTCTTAAATTTCAAAGCATATGAAAACCATTTGAGGACCTTGTTATAATGCAGGTTGCTGAGCACCATATGAGATCTACTAATTCAGAATCTCCTGGAATAGAGACAAGGAATTAAAACTCAGAATTACTCAATGGGGGATTGTGTTATATGCAGTCGTCAGTCTACAGTATGAGAAACACTGTCTTATGTAACAAGTCAGTGAAAAGCATCTTCAAGCAACTTATGTACTTTATCATTAGAATAAGCTAGAATTCACAGTCACAATACTATATCTCACTGCTTTGACCATTCATCATCTTCTGAGATGTCTCAGGCAAGCTCATAGATAACTTGTGAATATCCACTCAAAACCTACTGAATGGCTCTGATCCCAACTTCAAAAAGATATAACATTAAAATTCAAATGTGTCTTTAGGTGCCACTACAAGATCAATAATTTGGGCAAATCTAGTTAAAGTATGAATAGTCACAGCTGAATGTGGTGTTCCACCTCTAATACCAGCTACACAGCAGGCTGAGGTGGGAGGATAGCTTGAGTTCAATCTTGAACCAGGAGTTCAAGGCCAGTTTGGGCAACATAGTGAGAAAGCAAGACCCCATGTCTTAAAAAACAGTCTGGATGTCTCCCTCACTCCTGCTACCTCTCTATAGCTTGTTCATTCTCACCACAAACTGAATTAGTAAGGAATCAAGGTTAAAGGATTAGGGAAGAAATTTAAGTCATCTTATTTTATGACTTTTTAGTAACTCAACTCAAAGACTCTAATGATAGGAAGCCTGGAATGAACAACCAAAATGCTATTTTTAGACTCTCTGTAAATTTCATTTCCTCTCATTACCACAAATGGTGAAAAAATAACTGTCAGAAATTTCAAAGTAAGATAGCAGAACATGATAGAAAAACAGAAATTAAGTCACCATCTTCTGAAACATTTTTCCTTTATTAGAATTCTTCAGGTATTACAATGAAGATAACAATATTGCATTTCTTTAAAGTATGCTGTACATTTCCTTATAGGAAAAAGGATGAGTTATGGTGACCAGTGACATTTATTGGAAACAAGCAAACTTTTTGTTCCTGGGCCTAGGCCAATAGTTGTATTTACTTGAAGAAAACCCTACAGATGATTTGCAGTCTTTCAGGAGAATTTACTTTTATGTTTATGGCCCAAAATGTGAGGATAATTTGTTTGTAAATAATTGGCAGAGGTCACAGTCTCACAGCTAAGATATTTTATCTTATTTTGACAACCAGAGTTACAGCCTCTTTACAACTGAGAAGCGGTACTAAATGGTATTGTGCTTATTCTTCAACAACTCCACAAAACTGGCATCCTGACATGTATTTGCATGGGTGTCATGTAACAAAATGCAAAAATATTTTTTTCTAAAGGGCTTCAAAATTTCCCAAAACAGAGTTTTGAACTTCATTTTATTCTTCTTGCCACATGGTTGTTTTGGATTAGTATATACAATACATCAACACCTAAAAATATAGTTACAAAAATTAGTACAGACCTCATCGATTTCATAAAGTTACATCCCTTCTTGTTTGCATACATTTGTATTTTATTTATTACCGTAACTGCCACTTACAATCCAGCAACAAGGGTTGTATTTTAGAATACTATGGAATGGTGATGTGATAGATACTTTAAAGTGTAAAGTGTAGTGAAACATCTTTATGGGAATGAGAGATTTAATTTTTTTTTTAATTGGAGCACTGCACTGTCTCAAGGGTGGCTGCATTCAGTAGATTTGGGGCATAACCTCTGAAAAATACACGGGCTGCCCAGTGGAAGAGTCACCAATCAGATATTGAATATGATACTTATGTGTTGAAATTTTCAAGTCCTCACACCCATCCTAACTAATTTTTAGGCCTTTGCATTAAGATAACCACAAAACAAAACCATAACTGTTCAAACTTGGAACTAAGAAAATAAAAATTAAAGCTGAGCTGGATTTATTTCTATTTATTTAGAGTACATCACCTATAGTAGAATTATGTTGCTAAGATTAGATCATGGCTTTGGTCTCTAAAAATGACCTGCTTTGTAGATCCACGGCGCTTTTAATTTTCCAGCTGGGTTCCTGGTTTGCTGAACTAATTCTGTGCACTCCATTGTGCAGTCCACACCTGAAAGGGGGAGTTTCGATGTTGTGGTTTATTAACCAGGTACTTTCCATTCACTCAGTCAACAGAAAGAAAAAGAGAGAGAGGGTGCCTCCTACTTTTTTTTTTTTTTAACTACAAATAAGAAGACGGAAACTATTAAACAAATAAGAATGGGGGAAACTCCCGCATATTTCACCTTGACCTGGTTGCACTGGTCTGATGCCTGTAAGAGGCGGGGGTTGTATTAAAACAAGAGGTCAAACTTCTGGACTGGGAACCACTCCTGCCCCTAGTGGGAAAAGAGAACCATCACCGCGTTTCCTTGTTTCCAAAGTGGGGTACTCAGTTCCCACCCTCGACTTAGCGTGGTAGTGACAGGACCTGAGGAGGCACGCTGCTTCGCAGACAGTTGCCCAGCATAACACTCGCTCCCTCCCCACTTGCACCTAAATTTCTGAGCTGCAAGCAGGCAGAAATGCCTCCCACCTTCTCTCCTTAGCGCCTCTCTCCCTGCTTTGCTGCTGTCTCTATTTTGTTCCGTTTACTGGGAAGGTGACACTTCAGATCAAAAGACCTACTGTAACTTGCAAAAGCCCAGAACCACCACCAGACCCTGGGCAAAAACAGGGCTGTCCAGCCCAGGGTTAAGGCTGTGAGTAGAGAAGGAGCGGCGAGGAATCTTGGCGAGTCGCTCCAGGAACAGCCCCTGCAGACGGGTCCAACTCTCCAAGGGCTAGGGAGACCCGGGGAGCCTCGTGGCGGTGCAGAGGACGAGCTCCTAACTGCAAACAAAGTGCTGAGTAGAGGGCGTTGGGGGCAGGGGAGGCTTCTGGACTCCACTTTGTATGCAGCAGCTGCGGGGCAGTGAGTATCTCCGAACAAAGCAGCGCGCAGCGCGGGGGTGAGAGATTGGGGTTTGCTCACAGCTGCGGCTGAGCGAGTCTCCCACCACCCCCGCGAGCGTTAGGGTGGAGGGATTCGGGGGAGGAGGGAGAAGGGAACGAGGCGTGCCATTCCTGTTGCCCCGCTACGCTTCAGGAGTTCTTGTGAACGTTGGGAATGGCCACTATCAGAGCCAAGGGGGAAAAGAAAGAGCTCGAGTGAGCAAAACAAAGAGCGAGTGTGGGCCGCGGTGACTTCATGCCTCACCAATGTCCCGCCCACGCTGCTCAGAGCTGTGACTGCTGCTCCGCCAGGGCTGCCGCCGCGCCTGCGGACAGCAGTAACAGCCAGGCGCTCCGATAGCGTGGGGAGGTTTCCTAGCAACTCTGTGCCCTGAGCGCAGCCTGCTACCGGCAGGTGCGGAGCCCCCCACCACTGGGGTCTGCAGAGCAGGACCACCCCTCTCCCGTCCCTCGCCAGACTCTCTCGCATCCTAGCCGTGTGTACCTCCGAGCGCACCAGCAATCCGGGTTCTGGACTGTGGGACGCCCGAGCCGCGCACTGAGGCCAAAACGACAAGGGCACGCAGCCCCCGCCCCGCGAAGCCGGGTTCCCGCACCCCGTGGGAACCTCCCCTTCTGCGCTCGCGGCCGCCGGCCTCACTCCCGGCCAGGCAGGGAGAGGCGATGTCTCTCTCTGTGCCTGCGGGTGTCTGCGGGTGCTTCTAGGGTGCTCCCACAGCCGCCTCCCTCTGTTGCTGGCATCCCGAGCTTCCTCCGTCGCCAGCCGGGACGCTGCCGACTTGTCGTTGCCCGCTGCTCTGCAGACGAGGCTGCAAGCTGCCACTTGTGGAGGTGGCCTCCCTGCCCACCTGTGGAAGAAACCGCCCTGACTGATGCGCCATCGACTTTTTCCCCTCGACCTCGCCAGCGTCCCCTCCCACAGATTCAGCATCACCCAGTGAATGTACATTAGGGTGGTTCCCCCCTACCACCACCAGCTTCGGGCTTTGTTTGTGTTTGATTGTGTTTGGCTCTTCGCTAAGCTGATTTATGCAGCAGAAGCCCCACCGGCTGAAGAGAAACAAAAGCTCTTTTCTTTGTCCCAGAGCAGGCTGCGGAGCCCTTGCGGAGACCTCTCTCCAGTAGCCGCCGGGGCCCTTGGCAGTCGAAGGAGGTGCTTCTCGCGGAGAGCCTGGGACCCGCTGTGCCGAGCCAGGAGGGCCGCGAGGGCCCTGAGATGACGAGCGGTGCCCGGGCCCGCTTACCTGCTTCGCTTGCTCCGAGCCGCGGGGTCCGCCTGCTGGGCCTGCGGGAAACGTCCCAGAGACTCTCGGCCCCCGAGGTGCGCTCGTGAGGCGCGAGCACGCGACCGGAAAGCAGCCAGGCGGCGGGCGCGAGGCGGGCTGTTTTACATTATGTGCCGCTCGGCCCTGGCTTTTTTTACCGCTGCTCTTGCCTGCCTGCAAAACGACCGGCGAGGTCCTGCCTCGTTCCTCTGGGCAGCCTGGGTGTTTTCACTTGTTCTTGGACTGGGCCAAGGTGGTAAGTTGTTTTGTTTTGTTGTTTTGTTTTCTTCTCTTCCCCAAGGTCTTGGGCTGGCACGACGAGCTGCCCGGCCAGAGCATCCCGCCCAGGTAAGTTGCAGGCATCAGAGAACTTCAGGAGGGCGGGTGTGTGGCAGGTCCCCCAGCACCCATGGTCTCTAGGACAGGTGTCTTTCTGCCCTGGAGTGAAAGCAAGAACTAATGATCACAGGAGACACTGTGTGTTATTCCTAGGTATTGGGGAAGCCGTAATAGAAAGGAATTTTGGAAGAGAGGGTGTCCTGTTTACAGAAGTCATTTAGGGTCCTGGTCCATTCTTAAGAGCATCGTCTGTACAGAATGTTCTTTCCATCTTTCTAACATTTGGGTCCATTAACAACTAACGTGCCTTTAACTCGAGGCTGTAGGTAAGTTGGTTATAATGGGAGTAGTCTTCAATTTTTTGAGTCCAGAAAAGGACAGCATCCAAGTTTCTATTGTCTTTAGTGCTCAGTCTAAATTAACTACACACACTGGAGGGATATTCATGCTTTAAGTCACCATCTTTTCAGCTTTTTTTTTTTAAAAATCTGTCTAATTGATCCCTCGCTGAGATCAATCTCTGAGACAGAGAAGCAAAAAGAATGCTGGACCAGGATTGACAACTTTCTGTCCAGGCAAGCCATTTATGTCCGAGGTACCTTGATGTGGAGAGGTTAACGCTTTGTAAAATTCATTGTCCTCATCTGTAAAATGAGGATAGTAATACCTGCCTTCTGAGTTCAAATCACAAAGGAAAGTTCAAGTCAAATACCATACGAGAAGGTGTTTTAGGACTTCTGACTTATGAAACAATCAAATTGGATTGTTGGAAAACTATACAACTAAATAATAGGACTAACATCAGTTTAGGATAAGTTCTTAATGGTTTTCAATATAGGCCCAACATTTATTTTTGCTAATGCAGTGACTATTGTCATATTTTTTTTTAATTTCATTTTTTCTCTGTTTGTTCACCAAGCCCTTAAATTATATTAGAGCCTTTCTCTGACCTCTGGGGCTCAAGGAGAGTTTAAATAATAGTTGTAATTGTTTTGTAGGTTAAAATTTACTCCTTTACTTTGATGTGCCAGGTTTTTGCCTGAAGCTAATCAAAACAGATCACAACCTTATAAACAGCTTATATGTATAAACATATGGAAACATCCGGCTATCTTTAATTAATTGTTGCATATATAGTTTTCTAACATTTGTTTCCCGGAGATTTACCCAGTTATCTGAAATGGAGAAATTAGAGTAACTCTCTTTATCTTGTGGTTATTTTTTTACTTGTTTGTTGATTTCAAAATAAGTGAAACGGCAAAGGAAAAAGTAACATTTATTATGAGTTATCTCTTAAATAAAAGAAACCTGTATTTGTTGCAGCAAATTTTCTGCTGAGCACAATTCCAAATCCTGTTTCAATAAGTAATAAAGGGTTTTTCTAGATTTCTAGTAAACACACACACACAGACACACACACACTAGTAAAATGACCAAAATTTGTGTTAACGCAGTATATTTTGTTCCCAACATATAGGCAAAGGAAAAAGTCCTACTTGCCTTTAAAATGTGCCATTTATAGTAAATTTTTAAAAAACATTAACTGTGCTTATAAACATTAGTCAGGCTTTGGTGAAAAAGCATTGTATTTCCACCCTGCGACTAAAACTGATTTGAAGGAAATATTATGAATGGGCCTCCCTGCACCTGCAGACCTGAAAAGGGAATGCTTATCTGAAATCAGAACAAGGCATCCTTTTCCCAGTCTCTGTCAATATACAAAGGTTTCTGATGTATACTCATTTGCATGGCAGTTAAAAACATGCAAAAAATGTAAATTATAGCCAGTATAACTTAGAAAATTAGAGATCAGCATAAACTGCTGTACTTTTGTGATATAGCTACAAGTCTCAAATTATATGTCTTTACAGTGCAAATTAGATGCTTAAAGCAGAATAGAAATTTAGGTATCAGTTACAAAGGAAATCTTGTTCCCTTGCTCAGTAGTTTACACCAGGAAAATGTTGAGGGCAATAGAGCCATACAAAAGAGACCAGAAGCTGCATAAGACCAACATAACTTTGGGTTTAATTTTTGAAGCAGAATGTATAGGTCTTAAATACATAGTGGACTTTTAATAACAAATATATAGTGAGCAGTGGGGGATGTTATTAATCAAATCCAAAGATTTCTGATGTACAAAAAATTATTGCAGTTTTTTTTTTTTTAACTATCTCTGGTGGAAATTATCCACAGCTGGAGAAACAATAGCACAGTAAAGTGGTTAATAAATAACTGGAAGACATAAAGAGTATCTAGTGATTAATATTTGAAGAGTTAATGTAGCAATATTGTTTCCACATTTACTTATTTTAAAAGATTAAGAACTTTTGTTACCCAAATTTTTATATAGCAATATAAGTGTAACAAATTTCAGAAACTGCAATTTCCTTTAAAAAAGTGGTAACTATTATTGCAATGAAACATCACCTTCTGTTTATTCAATTGTCAATTATTCCTTTCAACAACAACCAACTAGATTAACATTACTTTGTGACTGTAGCATTACTTCCTCTCAAAACATTGCATAGCATGTGTTTCCAGAATTATTTATGCTTACCCTAAAGTGATCTAATATTTAAAAGAACCAAGGTATCATTAACAAAAATTCAGCCTTCTAAATTATTTGCATAATAAGCATCCAAATTGATTCTGTCTTGAAGCAATGGAAACACTTTCTGATCAATTAAAAATAACACATATTTGCCCTCTAAACTGACACCAAAGTAGCTCATTTGGTTTGGAAAATGCCAGAAAAATTCCTGTGCCCCAAAATAACTTCTCTTGTTACCAAATTATCTGAAATCTCACTATTTAATGGATTCTTTTTGGTTAAACATGGTATTAACGATGATTTTTTAAGTTTTTAACATGGTATAATATAAATTTTCAAAAGCATACAGAATTAGAGAGAATGGTATAAGGGACCACTATATATTCATCACCCAGCTTCATTAACTATCAACTCAAAACCAACTTCTTTCATCTCTGTTCCCACCACTTCCCAATTCATCCCCTTCTCCCAACTAAATATTTTGAAAGAAATTTTTCATATCATTTTATTTTAAAATATTTCAGTAAATAAAAATACTACTGGAGAAGGAATACACTGTAACTAATCTTAAACCATGAATTTTTTAAAAAACTAAAACTTAGGGCAAGAAGAACGTTCACAATTTTTAAAGGAAGCAATTGCAAAACAGAAGGACGCAGGAATGGCAAAGACGTAATTTTAACCATTTACTTTTTTGTTTGTTTGTTTTTCGAGACAGAGTCTCCCTCTGTCGCCCAGACTGGAGTGCAGTGGCGGAATCTCAACTCACCACAACCTCTGCCTCCCAGTTTCAAGCGATTCTCCTGCCTCAGCCTCCCAAGTAACTGGGACTACAGGCACATGCCGCCATGCCCGGCTAATTTTTGTATTTGTAATAGAGATGGGATTTTGCCATCTTGGCCAGGCTGGTCTGGAACTCCTGACCTTGTGATCTAGCCAAAGTGCTGGGATTACAGTCATGAGCTGCCGCACCCAGCCATTTACTTTTCAATAATTCTACTGTAGTTCCATTACAAATATTTTTATTTAAAAGGTATGGAGATGTAATAGCTTTTTGATATGCATGTATATGAAGAGGGAAAGACAACATAAATAAATCTCCTTCCCCAGACAAATGTTAATTGTTTTGTTCCAATAGAATCACAGCAGGTATACCTTGTTAAAGGTTCATTTTTAAGGATCCCCCACCCTTGCATGGTTAGTTTTTCTCCTTTCTACTGTATCATTTAAAGCAATATCCATGAATGTTGCAAAAGCTCTTTCTCTCCTATTTTTCACTCTCCTTTTGCTATAAGTCCTTGAAAGAATTGTCTATAACTCTTGCCTCCAATTCATCTCCTCACCTTCTCTTTGAATCCATTGCCAGAAGGCTTTCTTTCTCACCTCTACAGTCCAGTCTCTTAACATCAGAGTAACCTCCACATTGCCAAATCTGATGGCCAGTTCTTAATCTCCATCCTGCCTGATGTATCATCTGTTGGTGAGTTGACACTGTTGACCTTGCCCTCCTTGGAAACAGTTTTGTTGGCTTCTCGGACCCACACTCTCTTGGTTTAAGCTCCTTCTCCATCTCTGATGTTGATTCTTTCACATTTCTTGACAGCCAAATGTAGGAGTGGCTCAGGACTCCCAAGAACTGCTCTGATCCAGTCTTAGGTCTTAAATACCATTTCTACACTGGCACCTCCAGAATATTTATCTCTAATCCTAACCTGTTATATGATCTCCAGAATGTGCAGCAAACTGTGTGTTCCATGTCTCCACTACACATCTAAAGGCAAAATCACCCCTAACGCATTCAAAACCAAACTCTGTTTTCTTGTCCAGCCTTCGTAATAACACTGTGAGAGAGGTCCCTGTTTTTGAAACGAAGAAACAGAAGCACAGAGGAGATAGGTAACTTGCCCAATGTCACCTATCTAGTAAGTAGGAGAGATAGGATTTGAACATAGTAGACAAAGCCTGAATTAGGTTTCATAACATGAGCTTCCTAAGTCATCTTCATCATCTCAAATCTTTGTCCACATGTTCCATTCTGCTCAGAACCTTTCCCTTGCTCCCCATTGTCTTCAGGCTCCTCATACAACTTCCTCCTAGCCTTGCTATGTACACATCCACTGTGGCCTCCTTGAGGGGAGAAGCTGCCTATATTTTTGTATGTCTAATGCCTGAGACACAATAGGTCTTCACAAAGTATTTGTCATAAATGACCCCATGGATAACTTGAGGATAATAGTGAGCAATCTAAAATTGGGCAGTTAAGCAAATTATCTCTAATCAGTTCTAAGCCTCACTAGAATTTGAACTTAAAGAAATGAAGTTTTCTTTTAAAAGTAGGTTACACCATGAAGGACACTTGTTTCTGCTTTGCCAGCCCACATCAGAAAGCAGTCTCAACCTTCTGGGCAAATCATTAACAAAGATTAAAAGCTGAGACTTAGTAATCTTTAATCTT